CCTTCAGGGAGACAAAGCCAAATATGCATGTGATAATGAAGTAAAGAATTTATGCTTCAGGTTTAATAAAGCATGACAAGCATCATAATAACATAAGGTAAAAATTAATGAATCTGAATTTTTCACAAGGAAATAAAGGCAGAAGAAATACAAAACCTGTTATTTTTCAACTATCTTCTGAAAATAAGGTACATTATAGGCACAGAATATTTTTAATAAGGCTATCCAGTGACAAGAAACTAGTTATTGAATGACGGAATTTAAATTTGGCTTCTTTGTAGATAGAGCATGATTCACCATGAACTACTGGTTAAAGTATTATATTTTTGCCAGTTGTCAAGAAATAGATGATAAAGAGATGATAAGCAATTACAAAGTTACATTTTATACCATTAAGTATATCAACATCATGTGGTGCATACATACCAGAAGGCACTGCCTGACAAGAATCACTATGCAAAAGATTAAGAGATAGCCCCCAATACAAATGGCCACAATTGCAACAACTGGAAATGATTCATTTGCTGTAACTATTGCACCTGTTGTTGGCTGAAATATAAGAGAGGAATTTTACAGAAAAGCAAAAATGCTAAGGCATAACAAAGGGCATTCTGCTATGCAGGTTTCAGCTAGGCAGGCCATCCTGGTCAAGTAGGCTTGCTTAATGTGGAAATGTTGCATAAAACACCCCTTCATAAAATAGCAAAGAAAAAAGCTAGGCAAGCAAGGAAGCAAGCATGCGAGAAGGAACAGACAACCAGACAGGCATACACATCAGAAGGAAACAGGCAAGCAGGCAAGCAGGCAAGCAGGCAAGCAAACAAGTTGGAAGCAAACAAGTGGGAAGTGAACAAGTGGAGAGCAAGCAAGTGGACAAACAAGCAAGCAAAAAACAAATCAAACAAGAGTTTATGGCTATAGTAGTCTTACAACTTGTGCCCTCTCCTTCTCTAGATGAATATTCTAAAGCAATTACCCTGGGTACTAACCACTAAAGGATGGACAGCTAGTTGGCAGTAGGTCAGACTTTAAAGTTTGGTCTTTGCTGAGAACATGTTCCCCATGTAACAACTTTCCTCTTCATTTTGCCTGTGCATTGTTAAGAATTTGCATGAAGTCTGTGCATAATAATTGTTTTCTGGTTATGTTACCTAAGATCATCCTACCATTTTTTGCTTTTTGCTTCTGATAACAAGAAAAAACCAAGAAAAAGATTATTTCCAATGTCTTTGCTACAACATTCGTACACGATCTTTCATGGAACTTTCATTATATGAAAATTTGAATTTTATGGTTCTGGCATTCCCTGTGCAGAAAAAATAGCTTTACAGTCTGGGCAGCGGGCATAATGAATATAATAACTTAGTAGGGGACCTAAAAATGCACACAGTACTATGAGTCTAGTTTGCATCCCTTTATTTTCTTTGGTAGTAATTTCAAAAGTGTTTGAGGTGCATTAGTCCGGAGAAAAAAATATTTGAAGAAAGAACAGGCCTTGCCCGGAAAGGCGCTCGATCGAGCGCGCGCGCCTAGAGCGCACCCAAAAAAAGCCTTGGAGAGCGATTTATAGAGCCCCTCAAAACGTAAAAACAATATTAACACGGAGCAAAATAAATTTTTGGAATTTGTTGAATCAACTTGATCAAGCATAAACAATCTTCCCAACAGACCGCAATATTATGATTTGCGTAAGATTACCCCTTGAGAAAAAATTCAGCAAATTCAACGTTGGGTTTTCAATATCATTTTTTTTCTAATAACCCTCTAATAACCATCGAGGACACAGGCCATCAAGCGTATTCTCCGGCAGATTTATTTGATTTTCGAGCAAGCGTTAATCTTCTATTGAGGTATATATTATTTTCAGTTTTTTTAATAACTTAAAAGCGCCTGTGCAAATCAGCGATCACGTTTCCGTCCAAATTATCGCATTGCTTTTCATTTGCTTTTGCAAGTAGTAGATGTTCTAGCGTTTCTTATAGAATGGATAACATGAAAAAAGGAAACAAAGTTAAATGTTCGATTTAAAGCCATGCGCTTTGATGAAGCAATATGTGAAGCTGAACATAACAGTAGTGATACTGACACTGATAAAAGCTCATCAATGATGGCAACTTACATATCTAGAAAAATCTGAACAATTTTGCGATTTTGTTTTATTATATTTCTATATTTATATTAACATAGTGTTTGTTGCATGTTTTGTTATTTCATATTATGGTGCTTTCTGGTATCACCGTTGAATTTCATATTTAACATTCTTCCGAAGCTTTCAATATGAAGCTCTCGATCTCCTAAAGCTCTCGAAGGATGCTCTCAAGGAAATTTACTTAGAGGTGCGAAATAGAGCGCCTAGAGTTTCTAAGGGGCTCTTTTTATGGAGCACCTTCATTTTACTTAGAGCAAGGCCTGAAAGAAAATGCTGAGTGCTACACCCCTTGGCAACACTTGCAGAATCTGCTAAAAATCAGTTTCTGCTAAAAATCTCAGTTTATATCTGAAATGAACTAAGATTTTTAGCAGAAACTAATAAGGCTGCATGCTGTACCTTGTAGATTCTTTAGTTAGACATGCTGGTTTAAGCAGGGCTCGTAGTTCGTTTAAATCGGTTTTGATGAATTGGTTCTAGGCCAGCCTTGAATTTAGTCGCGGAGGCTTTGACCTGGACCACTCTTAAAGCATATGAACAGCTCTTACGATAAAAAATTGTCATAATTTTATTCATATTGTAAGCAACACTCGATCGATTGCGCTTCACAAAGCAGTTCATTTGTTGACTGTGGTGTTTGATGAACACTTACAATTAATGTTGGCGCCATGATGAAAATTTACATTCGCACGGTCCATAACACTTTGAATAAATATAACATCACGCTGGACAAAAACCTGTTCTGCAGCAAATCAACGATATTCTTGGCTTTTAAATTCCAGTACCCTGATGCCAAAAACAACTCAAACTTGATGCATTGCAGCATTGTGGAGCCATAGCAATAGCAATAGCTACTTGCAATTCGAAGTCTCCTTCTGAGACCGAGTTTGAAAGACGATCTCAAGAAAAGATGGCGGCAACAACAAATTTGACAACAACGCTTTGCAAGTCCTTCAAATACCCGATTATTGTAATTCTTGGAAGTACTGGAGTAGGAAAAACAAAGCTAAGTATAGAACTTGCTAAAAAAGTTGATGGGGAGATAATAAGTGCAGATTCCATGCAGGTTTACAAAGGTTTAGACGTTGTCACTGCTAAAGCTACCCAGGCAGAGAGAGCAGAAATCAAACACCATATGATCGATATGGTAAACCCACTAGACAGTTTTAGCGTTGTAGAGTTTCGAAATATGGCCTTGCCAATCATCAGTGACATATCGTCAAAAGGAAAAGTGCCAATCATTGTTGGTGGAACAAACTATTACATCGAATCTCTTTTATGGAACATTTTGGTTACGGAGGATTCAGGGAACCAAAAAACATTAGCCAGCGATTTGGAAGACACTTCTCCAAATCTCTCCAAAATTGACTTTGAAGTTTTGAAAGACCAGTCAATTTACAAGTTTCTTCAAAGTATTGATCCTGTTGCTGCATCCAAAGTTCATCCAAATGACAGTAGGAAAGTGAAAAGAAAACTGGAAATATGGAAGGCAACTGGAAAAAAGCCAAGTGATGTAATTGTTGAACAACAGTCTTTAGATGGAGGCGACCATCTTGGAGGGCCTTTGAGGTTCACAAATTCACTTGTTTTCTGGCTAT